CCCCCCCTTACCCCCATTACCCCCATTCCCCCCACCCCCCCCATCCCCCCACCCCCCATCCCCCCATCCCCCATAGCCCCATCCCCCCCATTCCCCCCCCAACCAGGGCCTTATGGAGGCCGTAGCGGCCGAGAGGCTCCTTCGGGATGGTCCCAACGAGCTCCGCCCCCCTCGGGGCACCCCGGAATGCGTCAAGTTTGGACGTCAACTGGCGGGGGGTCTCCAGTGCCTCATGTGGGTCGCGGCCGCCATTTGCCTCATCGCTTATGGGGTGCAAGAGGGCGAAGGCGATCGCGGTAGCTCCGACAACGTAGGTTGGGTTCCTTGTGGGGTGAAGACCACGGTGGGGATGTGTGTGTGTGGGGTTGGAACCCCACACGGACGCTTCTAGAACCCAATGGGGGAGAAGAATCGCCGTGGGGTTGGCCTCAACGCGCTCTTCGCCCCCATAGCTCTACTTGGCCATCGCGCTCATCGCCGTCGTGGTGGTCACCGGGTGCTTCGGTTACTACCAGGAGTTCAAGAGCACCAACATCATCGCCAGCTTCAAGAACCTGGTGCCTCAGGTGAGGGGAAGGGGGGGACAGGGACATCATGGCCATCATGGAGAACCCCATAGGGACATCACCTCCATCATGGAGAACCCATAGGGACATCATGGCCATCATGGAGAGACCCATAGGGACATCATGGAGAACCCATAGGGACATCATGTCCATCATGGAGAACCCATAGGGACATCATGGAGAACCCATAGGGACATCATCTTCATCATATAGAACCCATAGGGACATCATGGCCATCATGGAGAACCCATAGGGACATCATGGAGAACCCATAGGGACATCATGTCCATCATGGAGAACCCATAGGGACATCATGGAGAACCCATAGGGACATCATGGCCATCATGGAGAACCCATAGGGACATCATGGCCATCATGGAGAACCCATAGGGACATCATACAGAACCCATAGGGACATCATCTCCATCATGGAGAACCCATAGGGACATCATCGAGAACCCATAGGGACATCATGTCCATCATGGAGAACCCATAGGGACATCATGGAGAACCCATAGGGACATCATCTCCATCATGGAGAACCCATAGGGACATCATGTCCATCATGAAGAGCCCATAGGGACATCATGGAGAACCCATAGGGACATCATGGAGAACCCATAGGGACATCATGTCCATCATGGAAAACCCATAGGGACATCATGGAGAACCCATAGGGACATCATCTCCATCATGGAGAACCCCATAGGGACATCATCTTCATCATATAGAACCCATAGGGACATCATCTCCATCATGGAGAACCCCATAGGGACATCATCGCCATCATGGAGAACCCATAGGGACATCATGGAGAACCCCATAGGGACATCATGTCCATCATGAAGAACCCATAGGGACATCATCTCCACCATGGAGAACCCATAGGGACATCATCTCCATCATGGAGAACCCATAGGGACATCATCTCCATCATGGAGAACCCATAGGGACATCATGGAGAACCCATAGGGACATCATCTCCATCATGGAGAACCCATAGGGACATCATGGCCATCATGGAGAACCCATAGGGACATCATGGCCATCATGGAGAACCCATAGGGACATCATGGAGAACCCATAGGGACATCATCGCCATCATGGAGAACCCATAGGGACATCATGGAAAACCCATAGGGACATCATCGAGAACCCATAGGGACCTCCCCTTCACCCTCTAGACCCCATATAGACCTCCCCTTTACCCTATAGACCCCATATGGACCTCACCTTCACCCTGTAGACCCCATAAGGACCTCTCCTTCACCCTATAGACCCCATATGGACCTCTCCTTCACCCTATAGACCCCATATGGAGCTCCCCTTCACCTCATAGACCCCATATAGACCTCTCCTTCCCCCTATGCCCCCCCCCATGGATCTCATGGTCCCTCCTGTCCCCTGCAGCAAGCCACGGTGATCCGGGAGGGGGAGAAGGTCCAGGTGAACGCCAACGAGCTGGTGGTTGGGGACCTGGTGGAGATCAAGGGGGGGGACCGCGTCCCGGCCGACATCCGCATCATCTCGGCCCAGGGCTGCAAGGTGCCGTGGGGCGGCGTGGGGTGGGGTGGGGTGGGGATGGATGGAGATGGATGGAGATGGATGGATGGAGATGGATGGAGATGGATGGAGATAGGTGGAGATGGATGGAGATGGATGGAGATGGATGGATGGAGATGGATGGAGATGGATGGAGATGGGATGGAGATGGATGGAGATGGATTGATGGAGATGGATGGAGATGGATGGAGATGGATGGAGATGGATGGATGGATGGATGGAGATGGATGGAGATGGATGGAGATGGATGGATGGAGATGGATGGATGGAGATGGATGGAGATGGATGGAGATGGATGGAGATGGATGGAGATGGATGGAGATGGATGGAGATGGATGGAGATGGGTGGAGATGGATGGAGATGGGTGGAGATGGATTGATGGAGATGGATGGAGATGGGATGGATGGAGATGGATGGAGATGGATGGAGATGGATGGAGATGGATGGATGGAGATGGATGGAGATGGATGGATGGAGATGGATGGAGATGGATGGATGGAGATGGATGGAGATGGATGGAGATGGATGGAGATGGATGGAGATGGATGGAGATGGATGGATGGAGATGGATGGAGATGGGATGGATGGAGATGGATGGAGATGGATGGAGATGGATGGAGATGGATGGATGGAGATGGATGGAGATGGGGATGGAGATGGATGGAGATGGGATGGATGGAGATGGATGGATGGAGATGGATGGATGGATGGAGATGGATGGAGATGGATGGAGATGGGATGGAGATGGATGGAGATGGATGGAGATGGATGGATGGAGATGGATGGATGGAGATGGATGGAGATGGAGGGAGATGGATGGAGATGGAGATGGATGGAGATGGATGGAGATGGATGGATGGAGATGGATGGAGATGGGATGGATGGAGATGGATGGATGGAGATGGATGGAGATGGATGGATGGAGATGGGATGGATGGAGATGGGATGGAGATGGATGGAGATGGATGGATGGAGATGGATGGAGATGGATGGATGGAGATGGATGGAGATGGATGGAGATGGGATGGATGGAGATGGATGGATGGAGATGGATGGAGATGGATGGAGATGGATGGAGATGGATGGAGATGGATGGAGATGGATGGAGATGGGATGGATGGAGATGGATGGAGATGGGATGGATGGAGATGGGATGGAGATGGGGATGGATGGATGGAGATGGATGGATGGAGATGGATGGAGATGGGATGGATGGAGATGGATGGATGGAGATGGGATGGATGGAGATGGATGGAGATGGATGGAGATGGATGGATGGAGATGGATGGAGATGGATGGAGATGGGGATGGAGATGGATGGAGATGGATGGAGATGGGATGGGTGGACATGGGATCGATGGAGATGGATGGCAATGGGATGGATGGAGATGGGATGGATGGAGATGGATGGAGATGGGATGGATGGAGATGGGATGGATGGAGACAGGTCCCTGGTCCACCTCCATGGGGCTGAGGCCTCCATCCCCGTCATCTCCAGGTGGACAACTCATCCCTGACCGGCGAGTCGGAGCCCCAGACGCGGTCACCCGAGTGCACCCATGAGTCACCCCTGGAGACCCGGAACATCGCCTTCTTCTCCACCATGTGCTTGGAAGGTGGGTCCCAACAGCACCTATGGGTGCTACCAGCACCTATGGGTGCCACCATGACCGATGGGTGCCACCATGATCTATAGGTACCACCATGACCTATGGGTGCTACCAGCACCTATGGGTGCCACCATGATCTATAGGTACCACCATGACCTATGGGTGCTACCAGCCCCTATGGGTGCCACCATGATCTATAAGTACCACCATAAACTATGGGTGCTACCAGCACCTATGGGTGCCACCATGACCTATGGGTGCCACCATGATCTATAGGTACCACCATAAACTATGGGTGCTACCAGCACCTATGGGTGTCACCATGACCTATGGGTTCCACCATAAACTATGGGTGCTAACAGCACCTATGGGTGCCACCATGACCTATGGGTGCCACCATGATCTATAGGTACCACCATGACCTATGGGTGCTACCAGCCCCTATGGGTGCCACCGTGATCTATGGGTGCCGACAACACCTATGGGGCCCAACATCACCTATGGGTCCCACCAAGATCTATAGGTTCCAGCAAGTCCCTTTAGATGCCACCAGATCCCTTTAGATCCTACCTTGACCTTTAGAGACCATCAACTCCCTTTAGGTCCTACCAACCCCATTTGACCCCACTAACTCCATTAGACCCCCCATTAGACCCCACCACCCCCATTAGACCCCACCAACCCAATCACCTCCCACCAAGCCCCATTAGACCCCACCAACCACATTAGACCCCACTAACCCCATTAGACCCCACCACCCCCATTAGACCCCACCAACCCCATCACCTCCCACCAAGCCCCATTGGACCCCATCAACCCCATTAGACCTCACCACCCCCGTTAGACTCCACCAACCCCATTAGACCCCCATCACCCCCATTAGACCCCACCAACCCCATTAGACCCCACCAACCCCATTAGACCCCACCACCCCATTAGACCCCATCAACCCCATTAGACCCCATCAACCCCATTAGATCCCCACCACCCCCATTAGACCCCACTAACTCCATTAGACCCCACATTAGACCCCACCAACCCCATTAGACCCCACCAACCCTATTAGACCCCACCAACCCCATTAGACCCCACCAACCCCATTAGATCCCCACCACCCCCATTAGACCCCACCAACCCCATAAGATCCCACCAACCCCATCACCTCCCACCAAGCCCCATTAGACCCCACCAACCACATTAGACCCCACCACCCCCATTAGACCCCACCACCCCCATTAGACCCCCATCACCCCCATTAGACCCCACCAACCCCATTAGACCCCACCACCCCATTAGACCCCATCAACCCCATTAGACCCCATCAACCCCATTAGATCCCCACCACCCCCATTAGACCCCACTAACTCCATTAGACCCCACATTAGACCCCACCAACCCCATTAGACCCCACCAACCCTATTAGACCCCACCAACCCCATTAGACCCCACCAACCCTATAAGACCCCACCAACCCCATTAGACCCCACCAACCCAATTAGACCTCCCAATAGACCCCACCAACCCCATTAGATCCCCACCACCCCTATTAGACCCCACCAACCCCATTAGACCCCACTAACTCCATTAGACCCCCCATTAGACCCCACCAACCCCATTAGACCCCATCAACCCCATTAGACCCCACCAACCCCATTAGACCCCACTAACTCCATTAGACCCCCCATTAGACCCCACCACTCCCACTAGATCCCCACCACCCCCATTAGACCCCACCAACCCCATTAGACCCCACTAGCTCCATTAGACCCCACATTAGACCCCACCACTCCCACTAGATCCCCACCACCCCCATTAGACCCCACCACCCCCATCACCTCCCACCACCCCCATTAGACCCCACCAACCCCATCACCTCCACTACTCCATTAGACCCCCCATCAGACCCCACCAACCCCATCACCTCCCACCAAGCCCCATTAGACCCCATCAACCCCATTAGACCCCACCAACCCCATTAGACCCCCCATTAGACCCCACCAACCCCATCCCATCTCCCCTCCCCTCTTCCTACAAGGCACGGCCATGGGTCTGGTGATCAACACCGGGGACCGGACCATCATTGGCCGCATCGCCAGCCTGGCCTCGGGGGTGGAGAACGAGAAGACCCCCATCGCCATCGAGATCGAGCACTTTGTGGACATCATCGCCGGCCTCGCCATCTTCTTCGGGGCCACCTTCTTCGTGGTGGCCATGGTCATTGGCTACCCCTTCCTGCGCGCCATGGTCTTCTTCATGGCCATCGTGGTGGCCTACGTGCCCGAGGGGCTGCTGGCCACCGTCACGGTAACGTGGACCTCCCATCAAGTCCATAGGGTCCCATCAAGTCCTTTGGGTCCCATCAAGTCCATTGGGTCCCATCAAGTCCCTTTGGGTCCCATCAAGTCCATTGGGTCCCATTAAGACCTTTGGGTCCCATCAAGTCCATTGGGTCCCATCAAGTCCATTGGGTCCCATTAATTCCATTGGGTCCCATCAAGTCCTTTGGGTCCCACCAAGTCCATTGGGTCCCATCAAGTCCTTTGGGTCCCACCAAGTCCTTTGGGTCCCATCAAGTCCATTGGGTCCCATCAAGTCCATTGGGTCCCATCAAGTCCATTGGGACCCATCAAGTCCTTTGGGTCCCATCAAGTCCATTGGGTCCCATCAAGTCCATTGGGTCCCATCAAGTCCCTTTGGGTCCCATCAAGTCCATTGGGTCCCATCAAGTCCATTGGGTCCCATCAAGTGCCTTTAAGTCCCATCAAGTCCATTGGGTCCCATCAAGTCCCACTGATGTCCCATCAAGTCCATTGGGTCCCATCAAGTCCATTGGGGCCCATCAAGTCCTTTGGGTCCCATCAAGTCCCTTTAGGTCCCATCAAGTCCATTGGGTCCCATCAAGTCCATTGGGTCCCATCAAGTCCTTTCGGTCCCATCAAGTCCCTTTAGGTCCCATCAAGTCCATTGGGTCCCATCAAGTGCCTTTAAGTCACATCAAGTCCTTTGGGTCCCATCAAGTCCATTGGGTTCCATTAAATCCATTGGGTCCCATCAAGTCCTTTGGGTCCCACCAAGTCCTTTGGGTCCCACCAAGTCCATTGGGTCCCACCAAGTCCATTGGGTCCCATTAAGTCCCCTTGGGTCCCATCAAGTGCCATTGGGACCCACAAGTCCCTTTGGGTCCCATCAAGTCCATTGGGTCCCATCAAGTCCATTGGGTCCCATCAAGTCCCTTTAGGTACCATCAAGTCCATTGGGTCCCATCAAGTCCATTGGGTCCCATCAAGTCCCTTTGGGTCCCATCAAGTCCATTGGGTCCCATCAAGTCCTTTGGGTCCCATCAAGTCCATTGGGTCCCATTAAGTCCTTTGGGTCCCATCAAGTTCAAAGTCTTCATGGACCCATGGGTCCCATCCCATCCCATGGGTCCTATGGGAGTCCTTATGGTCTTGATGGACCCATGGAGCTCATATGGGTCTCTTGATGTCCCCATGGATCCCATCCCATCCCATGGGTCCTATGGGAGTCCTTATGGTCTTGATGGACCCATGGAGCTCATATGGGTCTCTTGATGTCCCCATGGATCCCATCCCATCCCATGGGTCCTATGGGAGTCCTTAAGGTCTTCATGTCCCCATGGATCCCATCCCATCCCATGGGTCCTATGGGAGTCCTTATGGTCTTGATGGACCCATGGAGCTCATATGGGTCTCTTGATGTCCCCATAGGTCCTATCCCATCCCATGGGTCCTATGGGAGTCCTTATGGTCTTGATGGACCCATGGAGCTCATATGGGTCTCTTGATGTCCCCATGGATCCCATCCCATCCCATGGGTCCTATGGGAGTCCTTAAGGTCCCTATGGGCCCTCCTGACCCCCAGGTGTGCCTCTCATTGACGGCCAAGCGCCTGGCACGCAAGAACTGCGTGGTGAAGAACCTGGAGGCGGTGGAGACCTTGGGCTCCACGTCCACCATCTGCTCCGACAAGACCGGGACCCTCACCCAGAACCGCATGACCGTGGCCCACCTCTGGTTCGACAACCACATCCACACCGCCGACACCACCGAGGACCAATCCGGTGCGTTGGTGGGCATGAGGGGTCCCTTCCATCACTATGGGTCGTTATGGGTGCCTTCCATCACTGTGGGTCGTTATGGGTGCCTTCCATCACTATGGGTCGTTATGGGTGCCTTCCATCACTATGGGTCGTTATGGGTGCCTTCCATCACTATGGGTCGTTATGGGTGCCTTCCATCACTATGGGTCGTTATGGGTGCCTTCCATCATTAGGGGTCGTTATGGGTGCCTTCCATCACTATAGGTCGTTATGGGTGCCTTCCATCCCGATAGGTCATGATGGGTGCCTTCCATCACTATGGGTCGTTATGGGTGCCTTCCATCACTATGGGTCGTAACGGGCGCCTTCCATCACTACGGGTTGTTATGGGTCCCTTCCATCACTATGGGTCGTTATGGGTGCCTTCCATCACTATGGGTCGTTATGGGTCCGTTCCATCACTATGGGTCGTTATGGGTGCCTTCCATCCCGATAGGTCATGATGGGTGCCTTCCATCACTATGGGTCGTTATGGGTGCCTTCCATCACTAGGGGTCGTTATGGGTGCCTTCCATCACTATGGGTCGTTATGGGTGCCTTCCATCACTATGGGTCGTTATGGGTGCCTTCCATCACTATGGGTCGTTATGGGTGCCTTCCATCACTATGGGTCATTATGGGTCCCTTCCATCCCTATAGGTCATTATGGGTCCCTTCCATCCCTATGGGTCATTATGGGTCCCTTCCATCCCTATGGGTCATTATGGGTCCCTTCCATCCCTATGGGTCATGATGGATCCCTTCCATCCCTATAGGTCATTATGGGTCCCTTCCATCCCTATGGGTCGCTATGGGTCCCTTCTATCTCTATAGGTCATTAGGGGTCCCTTCTATCCCTATAGGTCATTATGGGTCCCTTCTATCTCTATAGGTCATTAGGGGTCCCTTCCATCACTATAGGTCATTAGGGGTCCCTTCTATCTCTATAGGTCATTAGGGGTCCCTTCCATCACTATAGGTCATTATGGGTATCTTCCATCCCTATAGGTCATTATGGGTCCCTTCTATCTCTATAGGTCATTAGGGGTCCCTTCCATCACTAGGGGTCGTTATGGGTCCCTTCCATCACTATAGGTCATTATGGGTCCCTTCTATCCCTATAGGTCATTATGGGTGCCTTCCATCCCTATAGGTCATTATGGGTCCCTTCCATCCCTATAGGTCATTATGGGTGCCTTCCATCCCTATAGGTCATTATGGGTCCCTTCCATCCCTATAGGTCATTATGGATCCCTTCCATCCCTATAGGTCATTATGGGTGCCTTCCACCCCTATAGGTCATTATGGGTGCCTTCCATCCCAATAGGCCATTATGGGTCCCTTCCATCCCTATGGGTCATGATGGGTCCCTTCCACCCCTATAGGTCATTATGGGTGCCTTCCATCACTATGGGTCGTTATGGGTGCCTTCCATCACTGTGGGTCGTTATGGGTGCCTTCCATCACTATGGGTCGTTATGGGTGCCTTCCATCACTATGGGTCGTTATGGGTGCCTTCCATCCCTATAGGTCATTATGGGTCCCTTCCATCACTATAGGTCATTATGGGTCCCTTCCATCACTATAGGTCATTATGGGTCCCTTCCATCCCTATAGGTCGTTATGGGTGCCTTCCATCCCTATAGGTCATTATGGGTCCCTTCCATCCCTATAGGTCATTATGGGTCCCTTCCATCCCTATAGGTCATTATGGGTCCCTTCCATCCCTATGGGTCATTATGGGTCCCTTCCATTGCTATAGGTCCTTATGGGCTATAAGGTCCATAAACACCTCTCCCAGCCCCACATATGGCCCCTATACACCCCTATGGTGCCCTCCTCCGTGGTGACCCCCATCCCTCCTGCCCCACCACCCCAGGGCAGAGCTTCGACCAGTCCTCAGAGACCTGGACCATGCTGAGCCGCGTCATCGCCCTCTGCAATAGGGCCCAGTTCAAGCCAGGCCAGGACAACGTCCCTATAGCCAAGGTGAGACCTATAGGGGGCTTATATGGGGCTGCAAGGGGGTTATATGGGGCTGCAAGGGGGTTATATGGGGCTGAAAGGGGGTTATATGGGGCTGCAAGGGGGTTATATGGGGCTGCAAGGGGGTTATATGGGGCTGCAAGGGGGTTATATGGGGCTGCAAGGGGGTTAAATGGGGCAGCAAGGGGCTTAAATGGGGCTGCAAGGGGGTTATATGGGGCTGGGGCTGCAAGGGGGTTATATGGGGTTGCAAGGGGGTTATATGGGGTTGCAAGGGGGTTATATGGGGCTTATATGGGGCTGCAGGGGGTTATATGGGGTTGCAAGGGGCTGCAAGTTATATGGGGCCAGCAAGGGGGTTATATGGGGCTGCAAGGGGGTTATATGGGGTTGCAAGGGGGTTATATGGGGCTGCATATGGGGCTGCATATGGGGCTGCAAGGGGGTTATATGGGGCTGCAAGGGGGTTATATGGGGCTGCAAGGGGGTTATATGGGGCTGCAAGGGGGTTATATGGGGCTGCAAGGGGGTTATATGGGGCTGCAAGGGGGTTATATGGGGCTGCAAGGGGGTTATATGGGGCTGCAAGGGGGTTATATGGGGCTGCCAGGGGGTTATATGGGGCTGCAAGGGGGTTATATGGGGCTGAAAGGGGGTTATATGGGGCTGCAAGGGGGTTCTATGGGGCTGCAAGGGGGTTATATGGGGCTGGAAGGGGGTTATGTGGGGCTGCAAGGGGGTTATATGGGGCTGCAAGGGGGTTATATGGGGCTGCAAGGGGGTTATATGGGGCTGCCAGGGGGTTATATGGGGCTGCCAGGGGGTTATATGGGGCTGCAAGGGGGTTATATGGGGCTGCAAGGGGGTTATATGGGGCTGCCAGGGGGTTATATGGGGCTGCAAGGGGGTTATATGGGGCTGCAAGGGGGTTATATGGGGCTGCAAGGGGGTTATATGGGGTTGCAAGGGGGTTATATGGGGCTGCCAGGGGGTTATATGGGGCTGCAAGGGGGTTATATGGGGTTTATATGGGGTTGCAAGGGGGTTATATGGGGCTGCAAGGGGGTTATATGGGGTTCCAAGGGGGTTATATGGGGCTGCAAGGGGGTTATATGGGGCTGCAAGGGGGTTATATGGGGCTGCAAGGGGGTTATATGGGGCTGCAAGGGGGTTATATGGGGCTGGGGGCTGCACGGGGGTTATATGGGGCTGCAAGGGGGTTATATGGGGCTGCAAGGGGGTTATATGGGGCTGCAAGGGGTTATATGGGGCTGCAAGGGGTTATATGGGGCTGCAAGGGGGTTATATGGAGCTGCAAGGGGGTTATATGGGGCTGCAAGGGGGTTATATGGGGCTGCAAGGGGGTTATATGGGGCTAGCAAGGGGGTTATATGGGGTTTATATAGCTGCAAGGGGGTTATATGGGGCTGCAAGGGGGTTATATGGGGCTGCAATATGGGGCTGCAAGGGGGTTATATGGGGCTGCAAGGGGGTTATATGGGTCTGCAAGGGGGTTATATGGGGCTGCAAGGGGGTTATATGGGGCTGCTGCAAGGGGGTTATATGGGGCTGCAAGGGGTTATATGGGGCTGCAAGGGGGTTATATGGGGCTGCAAGGGGGTTATATGGGGCTGCAAGGGGGTTATATGGGGCTGCAAGGGGGTTATATGGGGTTGCAAGGGGGTTATATGGGGTTGCCAGGGGGTTATATGGGGCTGCAAGGGGGTTATATGGGGCTGCCAGGGGGTTCTATGGGGCTGCAAGGGGTTATATGGGGCTGCCAGGGGGTTATATGGGGCTGAAAGGGGGTTATATGAGGTTGCAAGGGGGTTATATGGGGCTGCCAGGGGGTTATATGGGGCTGCAAGGGGGTTATATGGGGCTGCAAGGGGGTTATATGGGGCTGGTAGGGGTTATATGGGGCTGCAAGGGGGTTATATGGGGCTGCAAGGGGGTTCTATGGGGCTGCAAGGGGGTTATATGGGGCTGCAAGGGGGTTATATGGGGCTGCAAGGGGGTTATATGGGGCTGCAAGGGGGTTATATGGGGCTGCAAGGGGGTTATATGGGGCTGCAAGGGGGTTATATGGGGCTGCCAGGGGGTTATATGGGGCTGCAAGGGGGTTATATGGGGCTGCAAGGGGGTTCTATGGGGCTGCAAGGGGGTTATATGGGGCTGCAAGGGGGTTCTATGGGGCTGCATGGGGCTGCAGGGGGTTATATGGGGCTGCAAGGGGGTTCTATGGGGCTTGGAGGGACTTTTAGGCACCCTATATGGGGCCTATATGGACCCTAGGTGGGGCTGAAAGGAAGGTATAGGGTGCTTATGGGGCTGGAAGGGTATATAGGGACCCTATGTGGGGCTGGTAGGGGCTTGTATGGAGCTTATGGGGCTGAGAGGGGCCCAGAGGGGTTATGGGGCTGAAAGGCATCTTTAGGGACCATATATGGGGCTGAGAGGGGCTTATAAGGACCATATATGGGGCTGAAAGGCATCTTTAGGGACCATATATGGGGCTGAGAGGGGCTTATAAGGACCATATGTGGGGCTGGGAGGAGCCTTTAGGGACCATATGTGGGGCTGGGAGGAGCCTTTAGGGACCATATATGGGGCTGGGAGGAGCCTTTAGGGACCATATATGGGGCTGGGAGGAGCCTTTAGGGACCATAGATGGGGCTGAGAGGTGGTTATAAGGACCATATATGGAGCTGGGGGGAGCCTTTAGGGACCATATATGGGGCTGAGAGGGGGTTATAAGGACCATATGTGGGGCTGGGAGGAGCTTTTAGGGACCATATATGGGGCTGGGAGGAGCCTTTAGGGACCATATATGGGGCTGGGAGGAGCCTTTAGGGACCATATATGGGGCTGGGAGGAGCCTTTAGGGACCATATATGGGGCTTAAAGGCATCTTTAGGGACCATATATGGGGCTGATAGGAGTCTTTAGGGACCATATATGGGGCTGAGAGGTGTCTTTAGGGACCATATATGGCTCTGGGAGGAGCCTTTAGGGACCATATATGGGGCTGGGAGGAGCCTTTAGGGACCATATATGGGGCTGGGAGGAGCCTTTAGGGACCATATATGGGCCTGGGAGGTGCCTTTAGGGACCATATATGGGGCTGGGAGGGGCTTATAAGGACCATATATGGGGCTGGGAGGAGCCTTTAGGGACCATATGTGGGGCTGGGAGGAGCCTTTAGGGACCATATATGGGGCTGGGAGGAGCCTTTAGGGACCATATATGGGGCTGAGAGGTGGTTATAAGGACCATATATGGAGCTGGGGGGAGCCTTTAGGGACCATATGTGGGGCTGAGAGGGGGTTTTAAGGACCTTTAGGGACCATATATGGGGCTGGGAGGAGCCTTTAGGGACCATATATGGGGCTGGGAGGAGCCTTTAGGGACCATATATGGGGCTGAAAGGCATCTTTAGGGACCATATATGGGGCGGAGAGGGGCCTTTAGGGACCATATATGGGGCTGGGAGGAGCCTTTAGGGACCATATATGGGGCTGAGAGGGGGTTATAAGGACCATATATGGGGCTGAGAGGAGCCTTTAGGGACCATATATGGGGCTGGGAGGAGCCTTTAGGGACCATATATGGGGCTGGGAGGAACCTTTAGGGACCATATATGGGGCTGGGTGGAGCCTTTAGGGACCATATATGGGGCTGGGAAGGGCTTTTAAGGACCATATATGGGTGTGGGAAGGTCCTATAGGGCCCTGCTATGTGCGTAGTCGCGGCTCTATGGGTCCGTGTCCCCGCCCCCTTGCGGCGGCCCCGCCCCCTTTTAGCGTGACGTCATCGGTGACGCGTCGGAGACGGCGCTGCTGAAGTTCGCGGAGGTGACGTTGGGGCCGGTGGCGGCGCTGAGGGCCCGGTTCCCAAAGGTGGTGGAGCTGCCCTTTAACTCCAGCAACAAGTTCCAGGTGAGGCAGTGGGGCAATGGGGGGCAATGGGGTCAATGGGGTCAATGGGGTCAATGGGGTCAATGGGATCAATGGGGTCAATGGGATCAATGGGGTCAATGGGATCAATGAAGTCAATGGGGTCAATGGGATCAATGAGGTCAATGGGATCAATGAAGTCAATGGGGTCAATGGGCTCAATGAGGTCAATGGGGGCAATGGGGTCAATGGGGTCAATGGGGTCAATGGGATCAATGAAGTCAATGGGGTCAATGGGATCAATGGGGTCAATGGGGGCAATGGGCTCAATGGGATCAATGGGGTCAATGGGATCAATGAAGTCAATGGGGTCAATGAGATCAATGGGGTCAATGGGGTCAATGGGATCAATGGGGTCAAGGGGATCAATGAAGTCAATGAGGTCAATGGGTTCAATGAAGTCAATGATGTCAATGGGATCAATGGGGTCAATGGGGGCAACGGGATCAATGAGGTCAATGGGATCAATGGGATCAATGAGGTCAATGGGATCAATGGGATCAATGAGGTCAATGGGGTCAATGGGGTCAATGGGATCAATGAGGTCAATGGGGTCAATGGGATCAATGGGGTCAATGGGGTCAATGGGATCAATGAGGTCAATGGGGTCAATGGGATCAATGGGATCAATGCGGTCAATGGGATCAATGGGGGCAATGGGGTCAATGGGGTCAATGGGATCAATGGGGTCAATGGGATCAATGAAGTCAACGGGGGCAATGGGATCAATGAGGTCAATGGGGTCAATGGGATCAATGAGGTCAATGGGGTCAATGAGGTCAATGGGGTCAATGGGATCAATGGGGTCAATGGGGTCAATGGGATCAGTGAGGTCAATGGGATCAATGGGGTCAATGGGATCAATGGGGGCAATGGGGTCAATGGGGTCAATGGGGGCAATGGGCTCAATGAGGTCAATGGGGGCAATGGGGTCAATGGGATCAATGGGGTCAATGGGATCAGTGAGGTCAATGGGGTCAATGGGGTCAATGGGATCAATGGGATCAATGAGGTCAATGGGATCAATGGGATCAATGAGGTCAATGGGATCAATGGGATCAGTGAGGTCAATGGGGTCAATGGGATCAGTGAGGTCAATGGGGGCAATGGGATCAATGAGGTCAATGGGATCAATAGGGGCAATGGGCTCAATGAGGTCAATGGGGGCAATGGAATCAATGAGGTCAATGGGGTCAATGGGATCAATGGGGTCAATGGGATCAATGAGGTCAATGGGATCAATGGGGTCAATGGGATCAATGAAGTCAATGGGGTCAATGTGATCAATGAGGTCAATGGGGGCAATGGGATCAATGAAGTCAATGGAATCAATGACGTCAATGGGGTCAATTTGATCAATGAGGTCAATGGGGTCAACCAATGGGGACAATGGGGGTGATGCTGAGCCCCCATAGCCCCTGGTGGGACCCCAATGACCTGGTGGGACCCAAAGGACCTTGGTTAAACCCATAAGCCCTGATGGGACCCATAGACCCCGAAGGGACCCAAAGATACCATTGGCACCTGTAGGCCCCATAGGCACCCGTAGGCCCAATTGGCACCCATAGACCCCATTGGCACCCATACACCCCATTGGCACCCATAGCACCCATAGGCACCCATAGGCCCCATTGGCACCCATAGCCCCCATTGGCACCCATAGCACCCATTGGCACCCATAGCACCCATTGGCACCCAAAGCCCCCATAGGCACCCATAGCTCCCATAGGCACCCAATGCCTCCATAGGCCCCCATAGCACCCCATTGCCACCCATAGCACCCACTGGCACCCATAGCCCCCCATAGGCCCCCATAGCACCCACTGACACCCATAGCCCCCCATAGCCCCCATAGCCCCCCATAGCCCCCCATAGCCCCCATAGCCCCCACTGGCACCCATAGTACCCCATAGCCCCCATAGCCCCCATAGCACCCCATTGGCACCCATAGCCCCCCATAGGCCCCCATTGACACCCATAGCCCCCATTGGCACCCATAGCCCCCCATAGGCAGCCATAGCCCCCATAGCACCCATTGACACCCATAGCCCCCATAGGCCCCCATTGCCCCCCATAGGCCCCCATAGCCCCCCATAGCACCCCATTGGCACCCATAGCCCCCCATAGCCCCCCATTGACACCCATAGCACCCATTGGCACCCATAGCCCCCATTGACACCCATAGCCCCCCATAGCCCCCCATAGCCCCCCATAGCCCCCATAGCACCCATAGCCTTCTATAGCACCCATGTTCCCCATAGCACCCATAGCCCCTATAGCACCCATATCCCCTATAGCACCCATGTCCCCCATAGCTCCCCATGTCGCCCATGTCCCCTCCAGCACCCATGTCCCCCATATCCCCCATAGCACCCATGTCCCCTATAGCACCCATAGCACCCATATCCCCTCCAGCACCCATAGCACCCATGTCCCCTATAGCACCCATATCCCCCATAGCACCCATGTCCCCTATAGCACCCATAGCACCCATGCTCCCTGCAGCACCCATGTTCTCTATAGCACCCATGCTCCCTGCAGCACTCATGCTCTCTATAGCACCCATAGCTCTCTATAGCCCCCATAGCACCCCATAGCACCCATAGCTCCCCATAGCACCCATAGCACCCCATTGCAGCACCCATAGCCCCCATAGCCCCCATGCTCTCTATAGCCCCCATGTCTCTCTATAGCACCCATAGCCCCCATGTCTCTCTATAGCACCCATAGCCCCCATGTCTCTCTATAGCACCCATAGCACCCAATGTTCTCTATAGCACCCATAGCCCCCATGTCTCTCTATAGCACCCATGTCTCTCTATAGCACCCATAGCACCCATATCCCCTATAGCACCCATAGCCCCCATGTCTCTCTATAGCACCCATATCCTCTATAGCACCCATGTCACCCATAGCACCCATGCTCCCCTATAGCACCCATAGCACCCATATAGCACCCCATAGCCCCCCACCCATAGCACCCATAGCACCCCCATAGCACCCATAGCCCCCTCTATAGCACCCATAGCCCCCATGTTCTCTATAGCACCCATAGCCCCCATGTTCTCTATAGCACCCATAGCACCCATAGCACCCATGTTCTCTATAGCACCCATAGCACCCATGTTCTCTATAGCCCCCATAGCACCCATGTTCTCTATAGCACCCATAGCACCCATGTTCTCTATAGCACCCATGTTCTCTATAGCACCCATAGCCCCCATAGCACCCATGTTCTCTATAGCCCCCATAGCCCCCATGTCTCTCTATAGCCCCCATGTCTCTCTATAGCCCCCATAGCACCCATGTCTCTCTATAGCCCCCATAGCACCCAGTGCTCCCTGCAGCACCCATAGCACCCAATGTCCCCTGCAGCACCCATGTCTCTCTATAGCACCCATAGCCCCCATGTCCCCTATAGCCCCCATAGCACCCATAGCACCCATGTCCCCTGCAGCACCCATGTTCTCTATAGCACCCATATTCTCTATAGCACCCATAGCCCCCATGTCTCTCTATAGCACCCATAGCCCCCATAGCCCCATAGCACCCATAGCCCCATAGCCCCCATAGCCCCCATAGCCCCATAGCACCCATAGCCCCCATAGCCCCCATAGCCCCCATAGCACCCATAGCACCCATAGCACCCATAGCCCCCATAGCCCCCATAGCCCCCATAGCACCCATAGCCCCCATAGCACCCATAGCACCCATAGCTCCCTGCAGCACCCATAGCACCCATAGCCCCCATGCCCTCCATAGCACCCATAGCACCCATAGCCCCCATGTCATAGCACCCATAGCCCCCTAGCACCCATAGCACCCCATGTCTCCATAGCACCCATAGCCCCCATGTTCCCCCCATAGCACCCATGTCTCTCTATAGCCCCCATAGCACCCATAGCACCCATGTTCTCTATAGCACCCATGTCTCTCTATAGCACCCATAGCACCCATAGCCCCCATGTCTATAGCACCCATAGCACCCATGTTCTGCAGCACCCATAGCACCCATAGCCCCCACCCATAGCACCCATAGCACCCATAGCACCCCCATAGCGCCCATAACCCCCATAGCACCCATAGCCCCACAGCGCCCATAGCACCCATAGCACCCATATCCCCTATAGCACCCATAGCCCCCATGTCTCTCTATAGCACCCATAGCCCCCATAGCCCCCATGTCTCTCTATAGCACCCATAGCACCCATGTCCCCTGCAGCACCCATGTCTCTCTATAGCACCCATAGCCCCCAATGGAGGGAGGCCTTTGAACTTGGGGAGTTGAGGGGCCAAGAGGGGTCCTGGGTGAGTGGGGGCACATCCCATAATAGCCCATATCCCATAGCCCACACCCCATACCCCATATCCCATACCCCATATCCCACATCCATACCCATGTATCCCATACCCCATATCCCATATCCCACACCCCATACCCCATATCCCATATCCCACACCCCATATCCCACATCCTATATCCCATATCCCATATCCCACATCCCATATCCCATATCCCACACCCCATACCCCATATCCCATATCCCACACCCCATACCCCATATACCGTACCCCATACCCCACACCCCGTATCCCACACCCCACAGCCCATACCCTATACCCCATACCCCACACCCCATATCCCATATCCCACACCCCACACCCCATATCCCATACCCCACATCCCATATCCCACACCCCATATCCCACACCCCATATATCCCATATTCCACACCCCATACCCCACACCCCATATCCCACACCCCATACCCCACACCCCATATCCCATACATCCCATATCCCATATCCCACACCCCATATTGCATACCCCACACCCCATATCCCATACCCCACACCCCATACCCCATATCCATACACACCCCATATCCCATACCCCATACCCCCCCATATCCCATACCCCATATCCCACACCCCATATCCCATACCCCATACCCCACACCCCATATCCCATACCCCATACCCCATACCCCATATCCCACACCCCATACCCCATACCCCATACCCCATACCCCATGTCCCCCATACCCCATACCCCATACCCCATACCCCACACCCCACACCCCACACCCCACATCCCACACCCCACACCCCACACCCCACACCCCACACCCCACACCCCACACCCCACACCCCACACCCCACACCCCATATCCCACATCCCATACCCCATACCCCAGGGTTCTAATGGGGTTATAATGGGGTTATAATGGGGTTATAATGGGGGAAAATGGGGTTATAATGGGGTTATAATGGGGTTATAATGGGGTTAAAATGGGGTTATAATGGGGTATAATGGGGTTATAATGGGGGATATGGGGTTAAATGGGGTTATAATGGGGTGTAATGGGGTTATAATGGGGGATAATGGGGTTATAATGGGGGATAATGGGGTTATAATGGGGTGTAATGGGGTTATAATGGGGTTATAATGGGGTTATAATGGGGTTATAATGGGGTTATAATGGGGGATAATGGGGTTATAATGGGGTTATAATGGGGGATAATGGGGTTATAATGGGGTTATAATGGGGTTATAATGGGGGATAATGGGGGATAATGGGGGATAATGGGGTTATAATGGGGGATAATGGGGGATAATGGGGTTATAATGGGGTTATAATGGGGTTATAATGGGGGATAATGGGGTTATAATGGGGGATAATGGGGTTATAATGGGGTTATAATGGGGTTATAATGGGGGATAATGGGGTTATAATGGGGGATAATGGGGTTATAATGGGGTTATAATGGGGGATAATGGGGTTATAATGGGGTTATAATGGGGGATAATGGGGTTATAATGGGGGATAATGGGGTTATAATGGGGGATAATGGGGTTATAATGGGGTTATAATGGGGTTATGGGGTTATAATGGGGTATAATGGGGTTATAATGGGGTTATAATGGGGTATAATGGGGTTATAATGGGGTTATAATGGGGTATAATGGGGTTATAATGGGGTTATAATGTATAATGGGGGTAATGGGGGATAATGGGGCGATAATGGGGTATAATGATGTTATAATGGGGTATAATGTGGGATAACGTGGGATAACGTGGATTAGGGTTACAGTTATGGTTACAGTTATGGTTACGGTTACGGTTATGGTTATGGTTATGGTTATGGTTATGGTTAGAGTTACTTACAATGGGGTTATAATGGGGTTTAATGGGTTATAATGGGGGATTACGGGGGATAATGGGGGATAACATGGGGTAATGGGGGTTAGGGTTATGGTTAAGGTTAGGGTTAGGACAATGTTTGATAGTGGGGGATAATGGTGTAATGGGGGATAATGGGGGTTAGGGTTATGGTTATGGTTAGGATAATGGGGGATAATGGGGGATAATGGGGGTTAGGGTTATGGTTAGGGATAGGATAATGTGGGATAATGGGGGATAATGGGGGTTAGGGTTATGGTTATGGTTAGGATAATGGGGGATAATGGGGGATAATGGGGGTTAGGGTTATGGTTATGGTTAGGATAATGGGGGATAATGGGGGATAATGGGGGTTAGGATAATTTGGGATAGTGGGGGATAATGGGGGATCACGGTGGGGGATAATGGAGGATAAAGGGGGATAAAGGGGGATAATGTGGGTTAGGGTTACGGTTATGGTTAGGATAATGTGGGATAATGTGGGGTATGGGATATGGGCTATAGAATATGGGGTATGGGATATGTTGTACGGGATATGGGGTATGGGGTATCTGATATGGGATGTGGGGTATGCGATATAGGGTATGGGGTATCTGATATGGGATATAGGATATGAGATATGGGATATAGGATATGGGGTATGGGATATAGGATATGAGATATTGGATATGGGGTATGGGGTATGGGATATGGGGTATAGGGTATGAGATATATGGTATGGGGTATGGGATATAGGATATGAGATATGGGGTATAGGATATGGGGTATGGGATATAGGATATGGGGTATGGGATATGGGGTATGAGATATGGGGTATAGGATATGGGGTATGGGGTATAGGATATGGGGTATGGGATATGTTGTACAGAATATGGGGTATGGGGTATGGGATATGGTTATGGGGATATGAGGTATGGGGAATGGGGTTTGGACTATGGAATATGGGGTATGGGGTATGGGATATAGGGTATGATGTATCTGATATGGGATATGAGATATGGGATATGGGGTTTGGGATGTAGGATATGGGGTATGGGATGTGGGGTATGGGATATGGGGTATGGGATATGGTTATGGGGATATGGGGTATGGGATATGGGTTATGGGATGTGGGGTATGGGATATAGGATATGGGTTATGGGATGTGGGGTATAGGATATGTGGTCATTGCTGCCCACACTGCCCCGCTCCCACCCCCCCACTCCCCCCATAGGTGATCATGGTGACCGGGGACCACCCCATCACGGCCAAGGCCATCGCGGCCGCTGTGGGCATCATCTCCGAGGGCAGCGAGACCCCCGAGGAGGTGGCGGCGAGGCTGAGGGTGCCCTTGGAGCACGTGGACCCCAGGTGGGAGCAGCGTGGCCAATGGAGGTCATTGGTGGCCAATGGAGGTCATTGGTGGCCAATGGAGGTCATTGGTGGCCAATGGAGGTCATTGAGGGCCAATGGAGGTCATTGAGGGCCAATGGAGTCCATTGGTGGCCTATGGAGGTCATTGGTGGACAATGGGGGTCATTGGTGGCCAATGGGGGTCATTGGTGGCCAATGGAGGTCATTGGTGGCCAATGGAGGTCATTGGAGGCCTATGGAGGTCACTGGGGCCAATGGAGGTCATTGGTGGCCAATGGGGGTCATTGGTGGCCAATGGAGGTCATTGGTGGCCAATGGAGGTCATTGGTGGCCAATGAGGGTCATTGGTGGACAATGAGGGTCATTGGTGGCCAATGGAGGTCATTGGTGGCCTGCGGGAGACATTGGTGGACAATGGAGTTCATTGGTGGACAATGGAGGTCATTGGTGGCCAATGGAGGTCATTGGAGGCCTATGGAGGTCACTGGGGCCAATGGAGGTCATTGGTGGCCCATGGAGGTCATTGGGGGCCAATGGAGGTTATTGGGGGCCAATGGAGGTCATTGGGGGCCAATGGAGGTCATTGGTGGCCAATGGAGGTCATTGGTCGCCTATGGAGGTCATTGGTGGCCTATGGAGGTCATTGGTGGCCAATGGAGGTCATTGGTGGCCAATGGAGGTCATTGGTGGCCAATGGGGGTCATTGGTGGCCTATGGGGGTCATTGGTGGCCTATGGTGGCCATCGATGGACCATGTTGGCCATTGGGGGCCAATGGAGCTCATTGGTGGCCAATGGAGGTCATTGGTGGCCAATGGGGGTCGTTGGTGGCCAATGGAGGTGGTGGACCATTGGTGGCCTATGGAGGTCATTGGTGGTCATGGGTGCAATGGGGTGCACACGTGTGTGAAGGGATGCTCATGGGTGCAATGGGGTGCACACGTGTGTGAAGGGATGCTCATGGGTGCAATGGGGTGCACACGTGTGTGAAGGGATGCTCATGGGTGCAATGGGGTGCACACGTGTGTGGGTGTGCACATGTGTGTGAAAGGAGTGCACACGTGTGAAGGGATGCTCATGGGTGCAATGGGGTGCACACGTGTGTGCACACGTGTGTGAAGGGATGCTCATGGGTGCAAGGGGCTGCACACGTGTGTGAAGGGATGTTCATGGGTGCAATGGGGTGCACACGTGTGTGAAGGGATGTTCATGGGTGCAATGGGGTGCACACGTGTGGTGCAATGGGGTGCAATGGTGCAATGCAATGGGGTCAATGGGGCGCAATGGGTGCAATGGGGTGCATTGGGGTGCAATGGGTGGGGGGTGCACACGTGTGTGAAGGGATGCTCATGGGTGCAATGGGGTGCACACACGTGTGGGGGGTGCACACGCATGTGGGGCTGCACACGTGTGTGAAGGGATGTTCATGGGTGCAATGGGGTGCACACGTGTGTGCTCATGGGTGCAATGGGGTGCACACGTGTGTGAAGGGATGCTCATGGGTGCAATGGGGTGCACACGTGTGTGAAGGGATGTGCACACGCATTGTAAAGGGATGTTCATGAGTGCAATGGGGTGCACACACGTGTGGGGGTGCATGGGTGCAATGGGGTGCACATGTGTGTGAAGGGTGCAATGGGCAATGGGGTCACATGTGTGTAAGGGATGCTCATGGGTGCAATGGGGTGCATTGGGGTGCAATGGGTGCAATGGGGGTCAATGGGGTTCAATGGGGTTCAATGGGGTTCAATGGGTTCAATGGGGATCAATGGGGATCAATGGGTTTCAATGGGTTTCAATGGGTTTCAATGGGGTTCAATGGGGTTCAATGGGGATCAATGGGGTGCAATGGGGTTCAATGGGTTCAATGGGGTTCAATGGGGATCAATGGGGTGCAATGGGGCGCAAGGGGTTCAATGGGGTTCAATGGGGTTCAATGGGGTGCAAGGGGGTGCAATGGGGTGCAATGGGTTCAATGGGTTTCAATGGGGTGCAATGGGGCTCAATGGGGTTTCAATGGGTTTCAATGGGGTGCAATCCCCCCCCCCCATTCCCAGCCCCACATCTCACCCTCCTCCCCGGCTTTCCAGGCGGCCCCATAAGTCCTTGGGGTCCCCTTGGTCCCTATGGGGCAATAAAGCAAAGGATTCCCCACATCGCCTCTGCTGCCCCATAGCGCGCCCCCCAACCCCATTCCCAGCCCCATAGCACTCACTTGGGGGCCGAAGTCACCGCATTCCCCCTTGATCCCGTTGCTTCCCGGTTGGCCCTTGGGACAAGGAGGGATATAGGGGGCAATGGGGTCACAAAGCTGCCCCATAGCGACCCATAACCCCACATCCGATGCGGTACCCACCATGGGGCCGGGCCGGCCGGTGAATCCCATAGGGCCGGGGGGACCCCGGAGAGCCAACTGGGAAGGAGAAAGATATGGGGGGAGGCGGGGTTAAGGATGGGATTGGTTGGGATATGGGGGTCCCATTGGGATGGGGTTGGGGGTCCCCATTGGAGGTCATTGGGGTCCCATTGGATGGGGTTGGGGGTCCCATTGGGGGTCATTGGGGTCCCATTGGATGGGGTTGGGGGTCCCCATTGGAGGTCATTGGGGTCCCATTGGGATGGGGTTGGGGGTCCCATTGGGGGTCCCATTGGGATGGGGTTGGGGGTCCCATTGGAGGTCATTGGGGTCCCATTGGGATGGGGTTGGGGGTCCCATTGGAGGTCATTGGGGTCCCATTGGAGGTCATTGGGGTCCCATTGGGATGGGGTTGGGGGTCCCATTGGAGGTCATTGGGGTCCCATTGGGATGGGGTTGGGGGTCCCATTGGGGGTCCCATTGGGGGTCCCATTGGAGGTCCCATTGGGGGTCCCATTGGGATGGGGTTGGGGGTCCCATTGGAGGTCATTGGGGTCCCATTGGGATGGGGTTGGGGGTCCCATTGGAGGTCATTGGGGTCCCATTGGGATGGGGTTGGGGGTCCCATTGGAGGTCATTGGGGTCCCATTGGGATGGGGTTGGGGGTCCCCATTGGAGGTCATTGGGGTCCCATTGGGATGGGGTTGGGGGTCCCATTGGAGGTCATTGGGGGTCCCATTGGGATGGGGTTGGGGGTCCCATTGGGAGTCATTGGGGTCCCATTGGGATGGGGTTGGGGGTCCCATTGGAGGTCATTGGGGTCCCATTGGGATGGGGTTGGGGGTCCCATTGGGGGTCATTGGGGTCCCATTGGAGGTCATTGGGGGTCCCATTGGGATGGGGTTGGGGGTCCCATTGGAGGTCATTGGGGTCCCATTGGATGGGGTTGGGGGTCCCATTGGAGGTCATTGGGGTCCCATTGGGATGGGGTTGGGGGTCCCATTGGAGGTCATTGGGGACCCATTGGGATGGGGTTGGGGGTCCCATTGGGGGGCCCATTGGGATGGGGTTGGGGGTCCCATTGGGGGTCATTGGGGGTCCCATTGGGATGGGGTTGGGGTCCCATTGGGGGTCCCATTGGGATGGGGTTGGGGGTCCCATTGGAGGTCATTGGGGTCCCATTGGAGGTCATTGGGGGTCCCATTGGGATGGGGTTTGGGGTCCCCATTGGAGGTCATTGGGGTCCCATTGGATGGGGTTGGGGGTCCCATTGGAGGTCATTGGGGTCCCATTGGGATGGGGTTGGGGTCCCATTGGAGGTCATTGGGGTCCCATTGGGATGGGGTTGGGGGTCCCATTGGGGGTCATTGGGGTCCCATTGGAGGTCATTGGGGTCCCATTGGGATGGGGTTGGGGGTCCCATTGGGATGGGGTTGGGGGTCCCATTGGGAGTCATTGGGGGTCCCATTGGGATGGGGTTGGGGGTCCCATTGGAGGTCATTGGGGTCCCATTGGATGGGGTTGGGGGTCCCATTGGAGGTCATTGGGGTCCCATTGGATGGGGTTGGGGGTCCCATTGGGGGTCATTGGGGTCCCATTGGGATGGGGTTGGGGTCCCATTGGAGGTCATTGGGGGTCCCATTGGGATGGGGTTGGGGGTCCCATTGGAGGTCATTGGGGGTCCCATTGGGATGGGGTTGGGGGTCCCATTGGAGGTCATTGGGGTCCCATTGGAGGTCATTGGGGGCCCCATTGGGATGGGGTTGGGGGTCCCATTGGAGGTCATTGGGGTCCCATTGGGATGGGGTTGGGGGTCCCATTGGAGGTCATTGGGGTCCCATTGGGATGGGGTTGGGGGTCCCATTGGAGGTCATTGGGGGTCCCATTGGGATGGGGTTGGGGGTCCCATTGGAGGTCATTGGGGGTCCCATTCGGATGGGGTTGGGGGTCCCATTGGAGGTCATTGGGGGTCCCATTGGGATGGGGTTGGGGGTCCCATTGGAGGTCATTGGGGGTCCCATTCGGATGGGGTTGGGGGTCCCATTGGGGGTCCCATTGGGGGTCCCATTGGAGATCCCATTGGGGTCCCATTGGGATGGGGTTGGGGGTCCCATTGGGGGTCATTGGGGTCCCATTGGAGGTCATTGGGGTCCCATTGGGATGGGGTTGGGGGTCCCATTGGAGGTCATTGGGGTCCCATTGGGGGTCATTGGGGTCCCATTGGATGGGGTTGGGGGTCCCATTGGGGGTCATTGGGACCCCCATTGGAACGGGTTTGGGACCCCCATTTCTGATGCCCCCCGTGCCCCACATCCCCCCCCCCCAGCCCCATAGCTCACCCTTGCTTGCTGTAGGATGGCCTGAGCTTGGACCTCCTGCGCCGCCACCACCGGCCCCTTGTCCCCAGTGCCAGCACCGAAGCGGAACTGGGATGGGAATGGGATGGGAATGGGATGGGAATGGGATGGGATGGGAACGGGATGGGAACGGGATGGGAATGGGATGGGAACGGGATGGGAACGGGATGGGAATGGGATGGGAATGGGATGGGAACGGGATGGGAACGGGATGGGAATGGGATGGGAACGGGATGGGAGCGGGATGGGAACGGGATGGGAGAGGGATGGGAACGGGATGGGAATGGGATGGGAGCGGGATGGGAATGGGATGGGAACGGGATGGGAATGGGATGGGAATGGGAGGGACTGGGATGGGAATGGGATGGGAATGGGATGGGAACGGGATGGGAAGGGG